CGCCGCCCCCCAGCCACTCAGGAGGGCAGAGCAGCCCTTACCTTCCTTCTCCTGGAGCAGGGAGTAACACTGGAGCAGGACTTGTGACAGCAGCTGGATGCCACGCCCTCGCGTCCGAGGATCTGTGTTCTCCAGGCAAGAGCTAGCCCAAGTGGGGAGAAAGCCCAAGAGGCCTGTTGTGAGCAGGGACACCCAAGCAGGAAGCACATCCTGAGCAGACACATTATAAAAACAAAGAGGTGCCGCTCTCTGGGCAGGGGGGTGGTGGCCCAGTCCTGCCTGACTTGCTGGCAGGGTGGGAGCAGAATCCTCTTCCCCTGACTATGCTGCATGCATACACCCGGCCCCAGAGCCACGCAGCAATAAATCCAAGTTCTCAAGTCAGACCAAAGAAATTGCTCTTGCACCATGCTCTGCACCTGAAACTCAGGCTCCCAAGATGACAAGGGCTGAAAAAGGGCAAAGTCTCTTACAACGAGGCAAACCCAGCCCCCAGCTTGGGAGAAACGAGCCTCCCTGAGTCCCAGGCCATGACAGCTCACAGACAGAAGCAAAAGCTGAGCGCCAGCCAACTCGTGACATGGTGATGTGCAGCTGTGTGCTCAGGCAGCTCCTGCTGGGGACAGTCCAACTGAGAAGTGCCCTGCGGCTCACTGCCTGCCACAACACCTCTCCTCAGTCCTGGGAGAGTATCAAGAGCTGCTTCGGCCTTGCTCTTTCCCAAACAGCTCCCAAATCCTGAGAGGGCAAAGCACCACTCAGGCCCCGCGCTGTAAGCAGACAACATCCTTGCAGGCCTGTGTGCTGTGGTGTGTCTACCAGCACTGAAGCTAGCTCGTCCTGGACAAGCATGCACACTTTTCCTTCTCACTGTCCCTCTTTGTGGGAATCTCCCCTGCAAGGCCCTTACGCGATGTATAACGTATAAGGCTTTCCTTACCCCAGGGCTTCCACAAGCTGCAGCACAGTCCAACTTCCATCTTTCACCCCTGGAGAAAGGAGGTAAAGAGAGTGAACTGAAGAGACTCCCAGACCATCAGTCAGGCATGGCGCTGGAGACAGATGCTGGGAAGGGCCCGGCACCGCAGCGGGAAAGGCTGGCCGGGTGCCAGCACCTCACTAAGCACCGAAGGAGCCATGTGCACCTAGTTGGTGGAGCTGCCTCCAGCCCTGCCTGCGAACACATCTGGGACTGAGAGCTGACTCGACTGGATCAGAGCTGAGAGCAGGCAGCAAGGGGTGGACTTGCCTGCACTTTGCCTCTACCCTCTCCCCGCAGCCTGGCTGCAACTGCGACCAACACATGGCTCCTGAGAGAAGCAGCCATGCTGTGCTCCACTTCGCTGAGACGCCAAAAAATGCTTCTCTAACATGAGCAAGCCAGGAGGAGACAGAGGGCAGCTCCCCAGGTGCTTCCTGAGGGAGAACTGGCGCAGCAAACAGCCCAGACGCTAGCGATCACCCAGCTTCCCACCTTGGCTCCACCACCCCCACGCTACACTGAGCAAGACCTACACAAACTCCCTCCAAGATGGAGGGCGAGGAGAAAGGCAGCTTTGTGGTCAGAGGAAGACAAAGCATTGGGACTCCTGGAGTCTGCTTCCAGCTCTGATTCAGACACCCCGCCAGGTTGCCTCACACACCTCCTGCCTCAATATTCTTGCAACTCAAGTGGGGGAAGAGTCACTCGTCGGGAGGCTTTGGTAGGGACCTGCTGCATCCTACAAGAGCCTTGGCAGAAGGGCAGGTTCTCCACTCCCACCACTCACTGCCAACGTGACACCTTCCCCGTAGGAAAGCTCTGTGTCCCCCTGTGGTCAGACATGGGGTGGGAGGCAAGGGACTGCCTTACCTTCAGCCCTCTAACCTGTAGCTCAGGTGGCAAGGGACATTGCTGGGAAACAAGCAGCACCCCTCACTCGCCACCTGGACAAAACAGCTTTCCTCCACAAAAAAAGCACCTTCCAGTCACCGAGCCTCACTGTCTTTGCCCAGGAGCACTTCTGGGCGCTCCAGAGGGCCCTGTTCATCCCTCTGCCCTGCTGAAGTCTTGCCTACACAAGTGACAGGGCACCCACCCCCTCAGAAGCCTCAGGTTTCATTTGGGGCTTTCCCAGGCCTTGTCTCAGCTAGTGTCTCCTGCTGTTGCAAGCATTTACTGGCTCTTCCTAAAGCAGTTAATCCCAGTATTAAGTCACACTGTTCATCAGAGAGGGGTCTCTGGGGATGGGAGAAGGAATGACAATGTTTTCTGACAGCAGGCAGCCCCGGCTCCAGGGATAGAGCTTCCAATCCCACTTGGCGCAGCAGGGAAAGGGAGCCTGGACTGAGGGACAGAACAGATAAGGGGAGCTGCGAGGAAGAAGAGGAGCCTAGCAGGCCACAGAGATGACAGGCACAGGCTGAGCAGGGGGTGCCTCGAGCGACAGCCATAAGGTGCTAGCAAAATTTCTTGCAGAAGAACAACAGTGCAACAGCAAGCGGGTGCTGTGTACCTGCATGAAGCAGAGTGGGCTGCCAGGAGAGCTCATACAGCCCCTTCACACCCAGCATCTCAACATCCCGCTCTGCAAGCTCACAAAAAGCCCTCGTGCCTCTGAACCACCGTGGAGAAGGTCCGAGACAAACACTATCTCCACAGCCAAGCACTCTGCCTCTCTGCTTTTTCAGAGATCGAAAGCAGCAGCTACACAAAGCAGCTGGTTTCCTAATCAACAGGAAAGAGCTGAAGTGTAATGATCAAACCACAGCTGGCTATCGATGCTCCCCGTGGTTATTAGCCCCTTTGCTTGGCTATGGCGAGAGAACTCGCTCTATTCTCAGGGACCCGGAGGTGCGACCAGCTTTGCCTCGCGTGGAGTGACCACACCAGCCCCGACGGCGCGACCTGCAAGCGCTACCTCCTGCTCGCAGGCAGAGCCACGCAGGCCACAGCTTAAGCGCAAGCACAGCTATAATTGGACCTGCCTCATCAGCACGGCGGGCACAGTGGCCAGCCTGTGAAACTTCTGCCTCCACATCTGGCAGCAGCAAGTTCCCAAGGTTAATTACGCACCTGGAGTCCCAGCACTCCCTTTACCAGGAGGGGCTGCTTTCCTATTCTGCTGTTCCTGTAGTCCCAGAGACTAAACAGAAGCAAGCCATTTACCCTTTGCTTCATTATTACTTGGAATCAGTCCACTCCCTTTCCTGACACCTCTTCCCCCCTTTCACGCAGTGTCCTTCTAGACATTAATCACTTCTGCGCACTTTCCATTCTCGTCTTCCCCACACTCTCAAAATGCGAGCACGGCATTCACGGGAGCGTGTGATGGATTTCTGTAACAGCAGTATCCTTCTCTCCCCATCTTTTAATAAAAACGAGTTAAGCCTCCTTCTGCCACTCACTGACACGTGCAGCCCGAGCTGCCTGTGACAGCACCGAGGCCTTTCTTCCACTTGCCAAGTTACACTCAATTTAGCACTCAGCAACACATGGGAGAAGCTCAACGTGTTTCTTCCAACAATTGCACAATGGCCACAAGGTTAGAAAAAACCTCCCCTTTCGCTCAAGGATACGTGATGCAATTTAATACTTTCTGATGTGTGATTCTATACGAGGTCAGAGGGGCCAAAGAACACTTGCCGGCTCCCTCGCTTGTCAAGGTAGGTTTGTCACAAGTGCCATACGGCTGACGAGAACGG